CAAAAAAAAAAAAAAAAAAAAAAAAGATGGGACCCTATTTGTATTCTGTTAATAAAAGAGATTAGAGTTGATTTATTTAAAAGTGTGACAGTGTGTTTAGATTAGCATGTATGTACAAGCTTGAATTATAAAATACAGATAGTCCCCAACTTTACAATGGTACAAAAGTGATATATATTAGTAGAAACCGTATTTCGTGTACCCATGCATTCATTCTGTTTCACTTTCAGTACTGCATTCAGTAAATTACCTGATATATTTAGTGTTGGAGTGCAGATATCTCTTCAACATGCTGATTTTATTTCCTTTGGATTCACGCCCAGAAGTAGAATTGCTGGATCATACACTAGTTCTTCTTTTAATTTTTTGAGGACCCTCCATGATGTTTTCTGTAGTGGTTGTACTAATCTACATCCCTGCCCATGGTGTACAGTGGTTCCCTTTTTCCCACGTCCTTGCCAACATTTATCTCTTATCTTTTTGATAATAGTCATCCTCACAGGTGTGACGTGGTAGCTCACTGTGGTTTTGATTTGCATTTCCCTGACGATTAGTGATGTTGAGCATTTTTTCATATACTTGTTATGCCTGGCATTTTGAATTGGAAGAGAGAGGATGGTTCATTCAAGGAGCTGGGACCCGAGAGCTAGAGGATGAGTGGCATGAAATAAAACTAGAGCCGTGGGTAGGTATCACCGACATCCTTTAAAGCACTGCACTGGAATATCACTACCCTACGGAGAAAAATCTGGGAGAGCAGAGACCAAATAGTGCGTCATAGAGCAGGTGGCATTTTAACAGGGTCTTGAAGGAGGGGAGAATTTGAACATGGTGAAGAAGTATAAAGTGAGGCTAGGGGGTTGAGGGTAGGGAGACAGGCAAGTGAAGGTGAGAAAGACCCAGAACTTACTGAGAAACAGGAAGCAGTCCAACAGCAGTGCACAAAGGGAAGGAGAGGGAGATAGGGCTCAAAAAGAGACAAGAAACAGGTCATTTCACCTTAAGACACCTTTTTGCTCTCCTTTAAAACACTGCTTATTTTTAGGGTACGTTGCCTGCTGAAGCCCGAGAGAAGAGTTTATATCTTACAGCCTTTAGTGTGATTGGAATTAGAAAGGCTTTTCATATCTGCTCTCTGACGGTAAGTAAGAGTTTTCTTTCTGACAGTAAGTAAGAGTTTTCTTTCTCCGGCACCCATCAGCTGTTTCTGTACCAAATTTAGAGGGGCCACCCATCAGAAGATACTTAAAAGCTTCTGTTCCTTCTTTTCACATTGCTTGAAAATAACTTTAACTCCAGAATCAAAGGATTTCAGAACTATGTTAGCAAAGACCATTTAATCCAACTTACTTGTTGACAGTTGAGAAAGCTGAGGCCTGTAAGTAAGGTGAAATTCATTGCCCAGTGTCACAGGCTACCAAGTTGTGGAGACGGGTCTAGAACCAATAACTGAGATTGTGATGGGAGAATGACCCAATGCCCTCAGCTTCCCTCTCTTACCTCTGCTAAATTTGACTACATATACCGGAGGGATCCTCCCAAAATGGAATTTATTTATTTAAAAATTGTGTGTTTACTCTTACATGTTTAAACTTCAGTTACCTTCAAAATATTCTCTGTTTGATCCATCTATCAAGATGCTTTTTCTACTGCTCAAAGCCATTTTTTTTTTTTTTACTTTTAACTTTTTTATTTTAAAGATGTGGGGTACAATTCAGGGTTGGGTATACAGATGTTCATTATGCAGGTACCCTTGTTGATAAAGTGTCCCCCCTCAAAGCAGTTTTTTAATTCATCAATTTTGATGTTGTTTAGTGCTTCTGCCGTTTTTTGTTTCACCTCTTTCGCATCCACAAAACGTTTCCCTTTGGGGACTTTTTCATCTGGGGAAACAAACAAACAAAAAAGTTACTGGGGCAATAGTGGATGAATAAGGAGGGTAGAGTACCAGGTTATGCTGTTTTGGGTAAAAAACTACTGAGCACTCAGCATGGTATCGGCAGATACATTCATAAATCATGAAATGGGCAAACCCGTTGAAAGAATCTCAAAAAAAATAATAAATTCACTGAAGCTGAACACAGCCTCTCACAACAACACTAGTTGGTACACTGATGTTGATATGTTCCTAGAACAATTACCTAGCAGGGAAAGACTGTACTACAAGGGGTCTTCCCTCTAAAAAGATAATTCCAGGTTTTCGGGGGTCTCCCCTTCATATTCTGCTGATGTCAGGACTATTCATTGAGACTATTTTTCCAGAAATTCTTAGGATCTTAGGATCAAAAAGTACTTTGGGGCTGGGCATGGTGGCTTATGCCTGTAATCCCGGCATTTTGGGAGGACGAGGCAGGAGGATTACTAGAGCCCAGGAGTTCAAGACCAGCCTGGGCAACATAGTGAGTCCTTGTCTCTACAAAGACATCAGAAAATAAGTTGGGCATGGTGGTACATACCTATAGTTTCAGTTACTCAGGAGGCTGAGGCAGAAGGATCACCTGATCCAGGAGGTCGAGGCTACAGTGAGTCGTGACAGTGCCACTGCACTCCAGCCTGGGCAATTAAGTGAGATCTTGACTCAAAAAAAGAAAAAAGAAAGAAAGAAAAGTACTTTGGCAACTTAGCTCTTTGTCTGCTATTTATGGTTTTTGTTTTTTTTTTTAAGTATAATTCCATCTGAATGTATAGCCTATCCTAGCTATGTTGAGAGGGAATAATGAAAGTTAAATCTACACTCGGTGCCTCTTCCAGGAGGCTAGGTCTGACGTTGGACTCAGAAACGAAAGGTACAAAACCTCTAAAAGAGAGGTGAGAATTTAGACGCAAAAAAGTTGACCATGATTTGGACAACCACTCTGTCCCTTTTATCCCTTCTGAAATTATGCTCCGTTCCTTCTCTTGGAGGGACTTGCTTTGCTGGCATGCCATCCACGTCCATTAGATCATCCTCTTTCCACCCTTCACCTTGCCTACCCTGGGGTGGTGCAACCTGAGGGAGGTTCATGTCATTGATAGGTTGATGCTTGACAAAGAAGCTTAAGTGTCTCCTGTTTTTGTTTCCAGAAAATCAATACAGCTGTAACTAAAGCTGACACCTTTCTTCTTGAAAATACCCTCCCGGCCCAGAGCACCTTTACACTGGCCATTGCTGCTTATGCTCTTTCCCTGGGAGATAAAACTCACCCACAGTTTCGTTTAATTATTTCAGCCTTGAAGAGGGAAGCTTCAGTTAAAGGTATGACTTTTCCATACATGTATACAGCAAGTGTTTACTAAGCTCATAGAGTCTGCTAATTCTGGGAAGCAGCTGGTGACATACAAAGTCAAGTAGGACACAGTTCCTGCCCTCAAGGAACAAATCATCACACACAATGTAATACAGTGTAAGTGTTATTATTCATTCGCTCATTCAGCAAATATTCGTTCCTTTACTCAACAAATATAAAAGGAGTATCCCATGAATACCTCCTATGTACCAGGCAGTGTTCCAGGCTCTGGGGTTAAAGTAGCAAACAAAACAGATCTAAAAATATCCAGGCCTTCATGAAACTCACATTCTCGTTGAGAGGAGACAAGCATGATAAATAAGTAAAACTTTGTGAATAGGTTTGTGATGGCTGACATGAAGAAAAATAAAGCAGGGGAAAGGAGATAAGGTGAAGTGGTGGGTTATAATTTTAGACAAAGTGACTGAGCTTAAGTTCCACTGAGAAGATGGTGCTTGTGTCGAGACCTCAAAGGGGGTGAAAAAGCAAGTCCTGTGGCTACCCAGAAGGGTGTTCCTGGTGGAGAAACAGCACATGCGAATGTCTTGAGGTATGGCCATACCTGGTGCTCCCAGAATGGCAAGGAAGCCAGTGTGACTGCAGAGAAGTGGGATGAGCAGTTAGAAAGTGAAGTCAGGGAAGAAAAGTGCTAGAGCAAGGGAAGTTCATGAAGGACATTAGCGATCATTACGGGGACTCTGGGGCTTCTGCACACAGTTGTGCAGTGGACAAAGTCCCCAAGCAAGCAAGTGAATTGAGGGTGAAATCCAGCCCATACTTCAGTCCCCCAGCCGCATACCCTGATTTAGGGCTGCTTCCACCTAGAGCAAGGGGTGCCTATGTCTCCTTCACATGAAGCTGGTGGGGGCCAGAGGGAGCCCCAGTGCTTTAACTTCAGCTTTGAGTGAGAAGGGGATTTTGAACTCAGGAGTGCATGACCTGGCTTATATGTTGTCAGGTTTGCTATAAAAAGCATTTTGCTGTGGAAAAATAAAGACACTACTTCATGTAGGTATAGAGAAAGAATAGCAAGAGAGTAGCAGCCATCATTGGCATGACTGGGTACTTCTGAGCCCTCTCCTGGCTGAGGTTTTCTAAGAGTTTTACAAATATTCCTGAGATTTATGATGATCTATAAAACTTGATTTCTGTCATCATTTAAAAAGAACTAAATTTTAACATATACCTCAAAACCACTACATGAGACTTCAAAAATAACACAAAAGAAATGCCTTGGGTATTATGAGATATGGATTGTAAAATCATAGAATTTAAGAGCTAGAAGGGAACTTAACAAGTCAAATAATGTTTAGCTGGGAGTTTCTTTTAAAATCCAAACTAAACCCTTCCTTTTAAATACAGAAAATCTGAGTGTCAGAGAGGAAGGGAAAGTATTTTATTTAAGGTCATGCAAATAATGTAGTTATGAATGGCAAACATAAACATCAAAATTTTGACTAACCTTCAAAAATGATTTCCAAATATGCTTTACTGGTTTAAAAAAAAAAATTGATCCAAAAAGGGTTTAAGGTAATAAGTTTAAATTGCTAGAGCAATAACAAATATAATTTAGAACCTAATTTATGAAAAGTGCTGCATGTATGAAATTGTCTTTAGTGCTTTAAATTGGGAGGAAACATCAAACACTAAACCTAAGGCTTTGGGTATGATGTCATAATTTCCAGGGTGTGTTTTTTCCAGCAGGGAGAAAAGTTCTCCAACTTATTTTTTTAAAGTGTCAATAACAATAACAATAATTCTTTGTATATGCATGGTACTTTCTGGTTTACAGAAACTTTTACATTTAGCATCTCATTTGAGTTTCACTGCATGGACGATAGTATTGTCTACACTGTAGGTATTAGGAAACTGAACCTCACAGAACTAAAGGAATTTGCCCAAGTCAACATGGTCAGTTAATAGCAGAAGAGAGACTAGAACCTGGTTCTACCAATTCCCAGTTTATTGCACTTTCCACTCTACTAGACTACCTCTCCTTTGCACATGGGGACCTTGTAAAATACAGGATGAGTATTCCTTATCCAAAATGCTTGGAACCAGTATTTCTGATTTCTGGGATTTTTTTTGGATTTTGGAATATTTGCACATACATAATGAGATTTTGGGGGATGGGACTCAATTCTAAACAGGAAATTCATTCATGAAATTCATTCATGTTTCTTATACACCTTGTACACATAAGCTGAAGGTAATTCTATACAGTATTTTTTTTTTTTTTTTCTGTCGCCCAGACTGGAGTGCAGTGGCCGCTCCCGGCCACCGCAACCTCGACCTGCTGGGCTCCGGCGATCCTTCCGCCTCAGCCTTCCAGTAGCTGGAACTACAGGCGCACGTTATCACGCCCGGCTAATTTTTTGATTTATTGTAAAGATGAGGTCTCGCCAAGTTACCCGGGCGGGTCTCGAACCCGCGGGCTCAGGCAATCCACTCACCTCAGCCTCCCAAGGCACGGGATTACAGGCTGAGCCACCGAGCCCGACCTATACAGTATTTTTAATAATTTTGTGCATGAAACAAAGTTTTGGTTACATTTTTACTGCAAACCATCACATGAGGTCGGGGTGGAATTTTCCACTTGTGACACCATGTCCGCTCTGAAAAACTTTAAGATTTGAGGCATTTCAAGTTTTGGAATTATTGGGCCAGGGATGCTTAACCTGTGAAGACAAGTAGCACTGTATTAGGTGATCTTTGTATTGGTTGTCTTCAGGAAGTTCTTCTAACAACAGCAACAAAAAGTAAGCAGCTTCTAGAAACTGGAAAACCGTAAAATACCCACTAGAATTGCTATGTCAATTCACGTTTTCAATTATACTAATTCAGGTAATTTGTGGATGTTTAGGTAACCCACCCATTTATCGTTTTTGGAAAGATGATATTCTACAAAAAGATAGCGCTGTGCCTAACACTGGCACGGCACATATGGTGGAGGCTACTGCCTATGCTTTACTTGCCAGTCTGAACTTGAAAGATATGAATTATGTTAAACCAATCATCAAGTGGCTATCCGAAGAACAGAGGCATGGAGGTGGCTTTTATTCAACCCAGGTAACATCTTTCTGTCGTGTTTCATCCTGTAGACATTTTTATTTTCTCCCATACCACACATTCCACACTCGCTCTGGCCTCCGTGCTTCTGTCCACCAAGTGAACATGGCACAGATATGAATAAATGTCTAGAACTGAAGGACCCCCTAGAAGTTTTCTGCATTGATACCCTTATTATACAGAGGAGGAAATGAGCCCAGGAGGTTCATTCAGGGAGCTAGTGGCAGAGGCAAAATCAGAACTCAAGTCTCCTGACTCTAGTTCAGTATTTCCTTTATGATACTTTATCATCATGAAAATCTAACAAGGGTACGTGCACAATGAACATTTGTATACCTAACCCTGAATTGTACCCCACATATTTCAAAGAAAAAAAAAAAGAAAATCTAGTAAGGTTATCAGCAATTATGTCACATCCTATATAATAGTCGTTGCCATGTAGACAAAGGTACTGATACTCCCTTCCCCCAAAAAATAAATAAAAAGTGAAAAATATACTGATCATTCTATGTTAATCTATCAATGTAAACTCATTTGAATACATATATTTTATGTTATAACTAATTGTTATGTAGTGGTATAATCCAGTTCATATTATATATTCAGTTTAGCTCAAATGTTAACATTGCCTCTATTACCTGGATGTTTAATAACAGAGTGTGTATATCTATATATTTAAAATTTAGAGGTAGAGTAGTCCTTCACTATTAATTTAGTGATCATCTAATGAGTTTCATCTTGGGTACAATTGTAGGCTCAACAGAAAAGAATACCCTATTGATTAGCATTGGCTGCCCTCGACATAGGCAGAGAGAGTGGCCATGATCTAGTCACATTTCCTGATTTTGTAGATGAGGAAGATGTGGTCCAGAAAGACACAGTTCATTTCATTCCTTCAACAAATACTTATGTACCTACTAAATGCAAAGGGTATTGTCTTAGTCCATTGTATGTTGCTATAATAGAATACCACGGATCAAATTGTTTATAATGAACAGACATTTATTATGTCATTGTTCTGGAGGACAGAAAGTCCAAGGTTGAGGGGCCATCATCTGGTGAAGCCATTTTTGCTGCATCATTCCATGGTGGAAGGGCAAAGAGAAGGCAAATAGGGGTTGTGCAAACTCATCCCTTGATAACAAACCCACTCCAGCAATAACAACATTAATTCATTCATGAAGGTTGTCCCTATGACCCAAACACTTCCCATTGGGCTCTACCTCCCAACATTGCCACATTGGGGAACAAGTTTCCAGCCCATGAACTTTGGGGGACACATTCACACCATAGTAGGCACCAAGAATTATATAGTATCTACTTGCCTCATGAATCTTATATCACGGAGGTGGGGATGCCAACAATAAACTATAAGTAAAAGTATTACAAACTGAGATGAATGCTATAAAGGGCAGAAGCAGAACATCAAAACAGAGAATAATAGGAAAGGGGATTTTATGGCCTCACTATGGAGATACTTAAACTGAGACTAAAGAATAAGAAAGAGATCATCATGCAAAAAGTCGAAGGCATTAGGCAAAGAGTGACTTGCCTGAGGTACACGTGCAGAATATGTAGAGGACCCAGATCTGAGGCCACACTTCCTTCCTATCCCTACTAACAGCAAATTCCTTATTGAGGAGGGAGAGGCCTTCCTTCCATTTCCATACTGGGGGCCAGAATCAGTTTCTCTCAGTCAGCTGGAGTTTCATCTCCAGATAATGCTGCCCTACTAAATATATTTTTGTGTCTTGCTGATTGTTGATAGGACACAATTAATGCCATCGAGGGCCTGACAGAATATTCACTCGCAATAAAGCAACTCCACTTGAATATGGATATCAATGTCTCTTACAAACACAAAGGTGACTTCCATCATTATAAGGTGACAGAGACGAATTTCCTTGGGCGGCCAATAGAGGTAAATGAATAATTTTTTGGTAGCATTTTTCAATTAGATGGGATCATTGAAATAATCTGTTCTGGCTGGGCACGGTGGCTCAAACCTGTAATCCCAGGACTTTGGGAGGTGGAGGTGAGAGGATTGTATGAGCTCATGGATTCAAAACCAGCCTGAGCAACATGGCGAGACCTTGTCTCTACAATAAATCAAAAAGTTATCCGGGCGTGGTGGCGCATGCCTGTGGTTCCAGCTACCTGGAAAGCTGAGACAGAAGGACAGCCTGAGCCCAGCAAGTCGAGCTGCGGTGGCTGGGAACAACGTGCCACTGCACCTCAGCCTGGGTGACAGAGTGAGACTCAGACTCAAAAAAAAGAGAAAAGAAAAGAAAAGAAATAATCTGTTCTACCCTTATTTTACAAATGTATTTATTCATTACTTGAACATATGTTGAGTGCCTGCTATGTCCTAAGCAGGGGTTCCTGCTATATCGTGGACACTTGGGATTCAAAGCAGAACACCAAGAGCCTGTGTGCTGGAGAAAGATTGTCATTTAAACAAAGAGCAAAAAATAAGAGTCTTGAGGGGTACATAGAAGTACATGGGGGACCTCCCTCCAGATCAAGGCTGAAAGGTGGGAGTTAAATGTGTCCAGATGTGTGGGTTAAATTGGAAAAATCAGAATAAGTTAGCCAGGTGAAGAAAAGTGAAGAATATTTTAGACATAGATAACAGCACACACAGCGGTATAGAGAGACAGGAGACATGTTTGGGTGTCTGCCGACTGTAACCAGGTTGGAAATGGCTTTTAGGTTTCCCAACTCCTTGCCCCATGTCCTTTGCTACTGCTGGTTTTTTAAAAGTGAAAACTTTGATGACTTATGAGAATTTCCCAAAGAAAAAGACACATTAGAAAAACTAGGTCCTACATTAATATTAGCTGCCTGTACGCAGCTGCTAATAGATATTTTTAATTAGAATGTTTATATTATTTTTAAGAATATTTAAATACACAAATAACTGGAAATAATCTTGATTGTCTACATACTCCACAAATCAGTATTTGTAAATAGGCATGAGAAATAAAATTTAAAAGTGCAAACTGGTGGCCCATAGTAAAAAATTTTTAAAAGACATGGATATGAATATAGACATAGACATAGATATATGCCAACATTTAAAGATCCAGAGGTTTGAAAGAAAAATCTGATTCCCAACTTACCTTGAAAAAACATAAGATCTGACAACAGGACTCTGAGCATCGGCATGCCTTCCTGGGAATCGGCCTCGGGATTCCTTTGCTGCAATCCCCACCAGTCACGTAGTGTGTGCATATGCATTTAAATCCATACTTGCTCTGTGCCTGGGCCTCTGCAGGCATTTGTGCTTTGGAAATGTGTCTCCTTTCCCTGGGAGCATTTAGAATTCACCAGATTCACATTCTAAGCTCTTGGCCTGAGGGCATGGTAGGCCTTATGAGGTGGTTGAAATTCTTTTTCTCTAGAGTGGTAATGCTATAAGGGGCCTCTTGACATCTTAAAATAATCTGAACCTCATCCCAGATTGCTGGCTCCATGTGAAACCTGGACTGTTATTATCTAGTATGGAATTTTCTACTCCAACGTTTTCCGAAATGTGTCACATAAAAGAATAGTAAGTGGGTGAATAAGCACCTAGTTTAATGAAGTTAACAAGTTCTTTAATTCAGGATCCCCCTGTCCTTTAATATGCATGTGACTAAGTGTGGTGACTCTGAGGGGAAACAAAGGGGCAGAGGCAGGGCACAGTGCATACCATTTCCCAAACTTATTTTCCATAGATGCCTTTTCTCATGCAGCATCATCTCAAGGCACTCATTTTCTGGCAAATGCTGCTATATTCCATCAGAGAGAACAAGAAAGTCGATTGGTTCTCCTATGTCTACTAGCATTTGAAAGAAGAAGTGACACACTTTAATGCACGCCGAATCCCCTTTGGCATGAGTGTGCTAGGCCAAAAGAATGAATGGGAGGCTGCAGACGTGGAGTATTCTCAGGTCCCTTGCTCGAAATCCTCTCTCCCATACTTTCCAAAATCAGGGAGCATTTGGATGGTAGAGTTTCTCTAGAAAAGAGAATTTCATAACTCAGTTCATCTTCACTTTCCTCCTAGCCGAGTGGGGGGAAAAGAGCAGCAGCAACTAAGGGTCTGGGTGAGGTGCTAGTGGTTTTGGGTGCGGGGTTTCCACAAACAAAGGCCAGTGACCTGTGGAAGAGATGAGCCATCAAGAGGTGGAAGAGGGATGTAAAGGGAGAAGTCAGAGAGAGCCAAAGATAGACTACACCCACTCTGGAGTTACAGTTATGTGGAGGTTCCCCCTCTCAGTGCTAATGAGGACAATCTCCACTGAGACACAAGAGCCAGTCACCAAAAGGAATTTATTCGGTTGGCAAGGGAGATGAAGATCCAGTTTTGTCATAGCTATGTCTAAATGAAAATGTAACCAAAAGTCACCTCTGACATGTTGGCTCCCACAGATCTCAGATTTCTCATTTCCATGTAGAAGGGAAGGGGAAAGCGGCCACATTTTTTAGTGCCTTCTGTGGGCATAGAATCATCAATGTCTTACCCATTTGCTCTCCTGAGCCTTCTGAGAGAGGAGGCTGGTAGGGATCAGCCCACTCTTTTTATTGCTCTATCTTCCCTATCAAATAACAAAAGAGAGTACGGTTTCTCTATCCACCTTTCCAGGTACCTCTCAATGATGACCTTGTCGTCAGCACAGGATACAGCAGTGGCTTGGCTATGGTACATGTGAGTATTTAATTGAGGCCAGCAGGGAGTCATGTGTCTATTTTGTACTAGGTAACATAAAAACCAGGGACTTTGCCACAAAGTCACAGAAATCTGGACTTAGTAATCATGACTAAGGCAAAAATTTCTGGCAATCTTTGTAACTGTCCTCACAATTTATTTTTTAAAATAACTATGTTAGTCCTTGTATTATACATTCTGTTTATTCGCAGAAATTATATATATAATTTTATATAGGTATATAACTTGAATGATCATATATGTATATACACATAAATGTGTGTATATATGTATATGCAAATGTGTATGTATGTCTTCTTTCATTAGCAATAGTCATATCTCATTTATCTAGCATCTTTGGGGATTGATGCATTATATGCAAAGATGTAAAGACTTAAGTTTCTCTATTTTAACCACTTGGCAGCTGCAAATTTTTCTAAGCTGTATATGTATATCCATGCACTTTTAAACTGCATGTTCTGAGCATAAATTAACATTCTATTGATGATTTCAATCATGTTTTTTTTTTTTTTTTTTTTTTTGAGTTGGAGTCTCATTCTGTTGCCCAGACTGGAGTGCAGTGGCTGCTCCCGGCGACCGCAGCCTCGACCTGCTGGGCTCCGGCGATCCTTCCGCCTCAGCCTTCCAAGTAGCTGGAACTACAGGCACGTGCTACCACACCCGGCTAATTTTTTGATTTATTGCAGAGATGAGGTCTCACCAAGTTGCCCAGGCGAGTCTTGACCCCGCGGGCTCAGGCAATCCACTCACCTCAGCCTCCCAGGGCTGCGGGATTACAGGCTGAGCCACTGAGCCCGGCTTAGTCATGCTTTTTTCTTTAGTACATGTATTCCTTCAAGGACCATATATAAGATTGCATGGGGAGAGTGGATTGTCTATTTTTCTGTCACTTCTGGTTGCTTTCAATATGCCTACTTCTGCCGGGTGTGGTGGCTCATGCCTGTAATCCCACCACTTTGGGAGGCCAAGATGAAAGGAGTGCCTGAGCCCAGGAGTTCAAGGCCAGCCTGGGCAACATGGCGAGATCTTATCTCTACAAAAAATCAAAAACCAGTCAGATGTGGTGGCATGTGCCTGTAAACCCAGTTATTCAAGGTTGAAGCAGGAGGATCGCCTGAGCTTAGAAAGTTGAGGCTGCTGTGAGCCATGATCGTGCCACTGCCACCAGCCTGGGTGACAGAGTGAGACTCCAACTCAAGTAAATAAATAAATAATGACATACCTACTTCTGGCAGCATCCCTGCCCATCTACACACACCTATAATGTGTTGTTTTCTATGATGGTTTGTGAACTGAGAGTAACTTGTAAGGTTATATGTAAATTAAAGTGTACAGGCTCAAGGACGAGAGCCTTGGGAACTCTCCCACAGCATAAAGTGCTCAGATTTGACCACATGGGATTTGGAACAAAATTCTGACTGATCAGAAGTCTTTTTTTTCTTCTTCTTCTTCTTTTTTTGCTTACTTTGGGATGCTCAGCTTTGTTTCAGACTGTGGAGTTTGCTGAAAGTCCAGCTGCTGGAAAAATGAGTCATTTATGTACACCATTTGTAGGAATATGAAAATGATACTTTAAGCATTCCATTTGCAGTGGCAGTGCTGCCATAACACCTTTTTCACTTTCCCGTTTTAAATAGAATCTTCTTTCTTACTTTTTCCAATGTAGGTAAAAACTGTAGTTCACAAAACCAGTACCTCTGAGGAAGTTTGCAGCTTTTATTTGAAAATTGATACCCAGGAGATTGAAGGTACAATAGTATGATTTATACTATAATTTTGGCTAAACTAAGAATGTTAAATAGAGAGCTTCCCTGATTAGGAAAATGTGCCTACTCAAAAACCAAAATGTCTTCATCAAATTCTTTAGCAGGTTGACAGCCAAGTGAACATTACTGCCATTTATTATAATAGATGTAACTCTTTAATAAGACTTGAAAACTGGTCACACACAGTGGCTCATGCCTGTAATCCCAGCACTTTGGGAGCCGAGGCTGGAGGATCGCTTGAGGCCAGGAGTTCAAAGACCAACCTGGACAATATAGCATGACTCTGTTTCTATTTTTTAAAAATTTTTTAAATAGTTGGAAACTAATATTAAATAGCAATAAGTAAGCTAAATGTATTTGCTATTGATCAAGAGGGTGTTTTGACTAACTATGTTACTTTTAAAGAGTGTAACTAGTTGTAAAGACAGAGAGGTCTAATTCCAGAACCTTGGATTTATATTACTTTTGTGTTATGTTCTAGTTCAGGACGCTGAATTCTCTTACAACCATGTTGGTTTTCCATCCCTTAGCCTTTCTGTATTCTGAGGGGTCCAGCAAAGCACATTTTGCCAGCTTCATTAACTTGGTCTCTCCAGTACTTACAATCTTTCCTTTAAATGTGTCCCTAACCCTCTTTTTTTTTTTTTTTTTTGAGTTGGAGTCTCACTCCGTCACCCAGGCTGGAGTGCAGAGGCACACTCACGGCCACCCCAGCGTCGACCTGCTGGGCTCTGGTGATCCTTCTGCCTCAACCTTCCAAGTAGCCAGAACTACAGGAGCGTGCTACCACATCCGGCTTATTTTTGATTATTGTAGAGATGAGGTCTTGCCAAGTTGCCCGGGCTGGTCTTGAACCCACGGGCTCAGGCAATCCACTCACCTTGCCCTCCCAAAGTGCTGGGATTACAGACTGAGCTACTGAGCCCAGCACCCACCCCCCTTTTTTTTAAACCTGTAATGTTCACATCCCTCTGCTGATTGGCTCTGCTTTCCCAATCCAAAAGCAAATCCACTTGTCCACTCCAGTCATCCTCCTGTCACCATTGTCCCCAGGCTCAGCACGAATGCTGCTGCCTCTGCCCTAATATCTTCCCTCTGTGGTGCTGAAGCCTGTTCTTAAATGAAACTTCCCAACTATCAAGAAATCCAGACATCTGCTCTGTCTCCCTCCAACATCTCCCAAACATATTACCCTTACATATTTATCTTAAATGACTTCTACCTTAAATTATAAGTTCTTTGTTGGTGTTATCAGTAGCCATGAATTTCCAAGTCAACAAAAATGCCAACTTCCAAATCACAAGTCATTTTTAAGTATGTTCAGAGACTTGCTCCTTAATGATTCTGTTCTGACAAGTTCCAAAACAACTGCGAACAGTTAACTCTCATATTTCTTTGTTTGTTTGTTGTGTGGACCAGCATCCAGCTACAGAGGCTATGGTGGCTCGGATTACAAACGCATAGTAGCATGTGCCAGGTGAGCCCGTTTCCACAAAGGGGGTACATATTTCAAGGTCTCACTTTTGTTATAGCACTATTTTTTTTTTTTTGCATATTTTTGATTTGTAACATACCCAGAAGATACAAAATTGTTGAGTTTTTTAATGGAGAACATAACAGTATTCTTAAATAGATACTTAAATAAAGAACAGTTTTGCTTTTGCAAACAGTATAATATTAATCTTTCTGTCATTCAAAAGGGTAGAGATGTGATATAAGTATTAGGAAAAGAAAATACAAAGGATTCTCTCATAAGAAGCTCCTAGTCTCTTACTTTTAAAAAAATCACATGTACCCAACAAAATCCCTGGTCATTATCAGACAGTGGTTCTCAACTCAGGTGACACACTGAAGACAGCTGGAGAGCTTTTGGAACTGTCCAAAGCTCAGACTTCACCCCCAGAAGCCATGCTAATGGTAGCCAGGGCTGAGAACCATTGATGTTTAACCTCCTGCTGACTAAATACAGAGGCCTAACTTGGCCATTGTGTTAGTTTCCTATTGTTGCTAGGTAACAATGTTTTGTAAACTTAATGACCTAAAACAACGCAGATATATTATCTTATAATTCTGAAGGTCAGAAGTCATAAAATTAAGCGGTTGGCAGGGCTTCCCCTGGAAGCTCTAGAGGAGAATCAATTTCCTTGCCTTTTCCATATTCTAAAGGCTGCCTGTTTTCCTTTGCTTACAGCTCCTTCCTCTGTCTTCCATGCCAGCATTACGGCATCTTCCAGTCTCTCTCTCTTTCTCTCTCTCTCTCTCTCTCTCTCTCTCTCTCTCTCTCTCTCTCTCTCCCCCTCTCCCTCTCTGACTGTGACTCCTTGCTCTTCCATCATCTCCTTCTTGGGTTCTACTGTTTTTCTCCTACAGGAAGACCCTTGTGATTATACTGGGCCTACCCAGATAATACAAAATAATCTCTCTATCTCAGACTTTTAAGCTGAAAAGTTCCTTTTGCCACATGAGGTAACACATTCACAGATTCAGGGAATTAGAATGTGGATATCCTTGGGGGTCATGATTCTGCTTACCACAGGCCACCATCCTAAAATGTTTGTGGGAGTGTAGGGTTTTTTTAAATGCGCAGACATTTTTGGCTTTGGTGATTACACAGAGTGAAACAGTTCACAGACTTCTTTCCTATTCTTTCCATTACCCTTCAATCCCTCCTGTTGTGTTCTGTCTTCTTAACCTTTTGTGTTGCCAATAGCATTGATATCTAAGGATGGCATTTTGCTATTTTCACTCATAATCTCATGTGAATCAAAGTACTCAGTATAGATAACTTGGAAATTCAATAGGGTTATGTAAAAGATTAGAGCTGAAAGAGACTTTAGGAATGCAGAGTTATTCCCCTATTTTATAAATAAACAAATTGAGACCCAAAGAGGTAAAGTCACCTGTCAAGTTCTTGCAGAGGCAGAGCCAGGGGCTCAAATCCCCAAACCCTGATGCTCAATCCAATATCTAAACACGTCTTTCAATCGGTATAATCTGAGACCCTGATCCCAAGGAACAGATGCTTCTCTGCCTTCTCCTCAACCAGTTGTGCCCCAACCTTGTTGGTGGTCTCAAGCCCAATCATTCTCTTCTTGGGATTTCTTCACTGTTAAGACCTACTAGCTTCCTCATTAGCATTCCTTCCTTCAAGCATTATCCTGTTTCCTTCCTTGGCCAACCCATGCTCTCTGTCCTGCTCAAACATCTTTCCTCATTCCCTGATGTCTTTCCGTTAAGGCCTTTTCCTTTCTCCACCCAACTTCCTCCTCCTAACTGCCATTTCTGCTCTTGGGTACCTATCGGCTGGGGAGGGGCATGATCACAGTTATGTTTAAATCCATAACAGCTGTCACACAGAAATGTGAGCGGAGCTAGACTCAGTGAATGGGAGGTATCTGGGGTCATCCAGAAGGGCTGGCTCTCTGATAGGAGGGTAGGACGCCTGTGGGATAGACCCTGCCAGTAAGTACTCAAGTGGCCTTAGCAAATCAGCTTACTTCTCTGGGCCTCATCTGTAAAGCAAAGATATTGCATTAGCTTATCTTGAAGTTTCTGCCAGTTCTAATTGTCCACAACTCTGCTTATATATAAAAAGACTCTTATGAAAAAGCTCTTATAAAAAACTCATTCATTTGACTTTCTTGACAGAAGACTTAATTCCAGATTGTCAATATACAAAAGAAAGCAAGTAGAAACGCAATATTGAATGTTCTATCCTTTGGTTTTTACAAATTGGGGACAGAATGTTCCAAAAAGGCGGGTGGAACATGCTTTTGGCCCTGTGACACTGAAGCTGGGTTGGGTAAATTCCAAAGTAACTGTGTAGTTCTTATTCATGTAAGAAATTATTTGCCTTTAAATACTCTCTCTCCTGATTAAGAAATGCCAGCACGCAGTTGCTGTGTTCAGAAGGTCTCTTTCGTGTATTTAGCTTTTTACAACCTCTCTGTTGTATTCATAAGAAAGGAAAAAAGGATTTCATTTCTCTCGCAACAAAATGCCTTTGGGGAAGGTTGCTGGTTTTGGCAGCAGGCAAAAGACTTCTTGAAAGGAGAATTTCTGTTCCACCATTGAAACAGTCTCCATGGCAACCAGTCATCAAGTCTCCAGCAACCTTTTCATAGACACTCTCCACTCAGGAGGCCCTTCTCCATCCTGTTGACAAAGTATTTGCATCTGTGAGCAAGAGTTCTCTGCAGCTACCCTCTGATTAGGGAGATGTTCAGATGTCACATTACAGTTCCAAGATGACTTATATTCTGTTTTAAATTGTGAACTTGGTGAAGGATGGGGTCAAATTGTTATGAGTCAGAGATATTACAATAGTTTTAATTATTGTGGTAAACATGACATCTAAAAGTTCTAATAAGGACTGTTTTATGTATGCTCTATGAGGTGTGATTGAGGAAAATAGCTTGCAAAATATCTCCTGTTTCACTAATACTCATCCATGTAGGTGAGATCAATTCATTTTCCCCCTTATGAAGCTATCTTCCAGTTTCTTCCTTTAATCTTGACTGTTCTTCCAAGCTCCACTCACAAATACCCAGCTGCCTGTCAAGCACCTTGAGGTGAGGCTGGAAACTGAAATCAACTTTTGTAGAGCCACACTCCCCCTGCCGAGCCCCTGTCTCGGCCCCACCACATGGTCTCTCTTTAAAGTTCTCCAACTTGAATGGTAGCTCCAAGCCTCTACCCCCAAAAACAAAGTCTTGGAATTAAAAAGATAAATTTAAAACACAAATTTATACTTCTTCACACATAACTTTACAAATAAGAAAATGAACTTAGAAAGGAGAAATGATTTATGGAAATCTCTCAGCAGAACTGGGATAAAACCCAAGTTTCCTGATTCCCCATTTCTGTGTTCTTTTCTCTCTTATAAAAAAACAGCAACAACAACAACAAAAACTTCAATTTTACTCCCTTTGCATTTCTCCTTAACTTCCTACTAGCACAATTCCTAGACAACAGATAGTCCTTAAAACACTATTCTTTAAATAAAGCATCTGTTGTGAAAAATTTAGAAAATACAAAAAAGCATGAAAAAGAAAAAGGATAATCACACTATTCAGGGAAAGTAGCTACTAATATTTTCATATATTTTCTTCCAGCTTTTTCTTGACATGTTTATTAAGTCTCTTTTCAATATACAGCTAATTTTCTGCTTTGGATATGCTTCATTAGAAAAAGGACTAAAGCAAGAATCAGAAGAACTAGATTCATATGCAGTGCTGCATGAACTAGCCATATGACCTTGAACGAGTGCCTTACTCTCATCCTTGGTTTCCCCAGAATAGTGGTCCATTGAGACTATTGGTCAAGTGAAGAAAAAGAATAAATGACCCAAAGATCTCTTGCAACTTTAAAATTCAGAGGTTATAACCCATGTAACATACAGAAGCAAATAAATGGAGACAAATTTAAAAATTAAGGTCTACTAAGAAATAGGGTTCTTTCTTAAAGAATCTTATTCATTTATTTATTACATTTCCTAATCTCCTACTTATTTTAGTTACAAGCCCAGCAGTAGAGAATCATCGTCTGGATCCTCCCATGCAGTGATGGATATCTCTTTGCCTACTGGAATCGGTGCAAATGAAGATGACTTAAAAGCTGTAAGTGTTTTCTTTTAAATAGTATTGTACATGCTTTATTTTCTTTTCTGAATTATGTGATAGCCAAATTGCTCTTCATCTTTTTTGAATAGTGGGTCACATCCCTATGACTTTACATCTCAGCAACAGCTGAACACCTCTGAACAAAATAATGAAATTAAATTCAGACCTTTTTCTTTCCTCCCACAGCTTGTGGAAGGGGTGGATCAACTATTAACTGATTACCAGATCAAAGATGGACATGTTATTCTACAGTTGAATTCGGTAAGCCCCAACTCCTACCATTCTTCCTTTACTATTACCATTCAAAATTTACAGGCTAGCATATCATGCATATCTTCTCTCCCATCACTTTCTTAAACCCTTGAATTTGTCCAACAGATTCCCTCCAATGATTTCCTATGTGTTCGATTCCGGATATTTGAACTTTTTGAAGTTGGGTTTCTTAGTCCTGCTACTTTCTCAGTGTATGAATACCACAGACCAGGTAATCAACTCTGCTCTAAAATGTCTTCAGAAGACTGCTTTGTGTTCTTTACAGAGCATTTAGAAATCCATTAGAGTCTTGTAAATTTTATATATTGCCTCTCTTAGAGACCACTCTTCATAAAATTCCCAACTTGAACATCCAAACTACTGCATCCAAACTGCTATACCCAAGCTACTTCTTGACACTGAGCAAATCACTTCACCTCTCAGTTCTCAGTTTCTTCATTTTTAAGTTACCTGGATTATATTGCCACCAACTTTAAAATTCTTTGCCTTGTGTTTATCTGTGTTGTTCACTTTTTGTATTCATTCCATCTCTCCTTTTTAGGAAAGGCCACTTTATTTTTATAATCCTCCAAGAAAAACTTCCACCCCATCTATATTTGCATTACATCTTATAGATAGTTCTATCCTAGCAGCTGTCACATTGCATTGTAATTGTCTGTATGTCTTTCTCACCAGTCCCAGAATGCTTTCATTCTTGTGTCCCTAGAATCTAACACAGTGTTAGGTATATAATGTGAACTCAGTAAGTATTTTATTCTAGGTTTTTGATGTTGTTGTTGTTTGTTGCTGTTTGAGACAGGGTCTCACTCTGTCAGCCAGGCTGGAGTGTAGTGGCATGATCATGATGATCACAGCTCATGGCAGCCCCAAACTCCCAGGCTCAGGAGATCCTCCTACCCCAGCATCCTGAGTAGTTGGAATACAGGCTATGCCACCATGACCAGCTAATTTTTAAAATTTTTTTGTAGAGATGAGGTTTTACTAGGTAACCCAGGCTAGTCTCGAACTCCTGGGCTCAAGCAGTCCGCCTGCCATGGCCTCCCAATGTCCTGTAATTACAGGCATGAACCACTGCACCCGGCCCCAATAAGTATTTGTTGAATGAGTGGTCCTATATTTGACTACTCAGCCACTTCTGAGAATATTAAATGATCAGAGAGATCTTATTTGTTCACAAGACAGATGACTTCACCTTGGGCAGTTCTACCTGTTAGAAAAACCAAACTCTGGCATACATTCATTCATTCTAGTTTTATACTCCAAAATCACATAGAAGATACCTAGTCACTCTTTCCCTTGAGCATATATGTGCTTTTATTCTATTGTCCAGCCTGAACAATTACAATTCTTTCAATAGATCCTCATATAACATAATTTATTTTCCTTATGGAAACATCATGTATTTTCATGCTGAGAAATGAATACTGAACAGGAAAATTTCACGCACAGAACTAAGCTGACAAGGGGAGATCTTTCTGAAGGCAGAGGCCCTTCCCAAGACAGCCAATTCATGATTTTACCTTCCCTGGGCCTTAGCTATAAAAAGAAGGGTTTGGAATAGGTGAGTGCTGAGGTCACGTGGAAGAGACTTGCTCATTAATAAATGTGTTGTCCATCAATCAAGCCACTTCTCTTAACCACACTTTCATTGCTACAGATAAACAGTGCACCATGTTTTATAGTACTTCCTATAACAAGCTTCAGAAAGTCTGTGAAGGAGCCACATGCAAGTGTGTAGAAGGTAAACTTCATCGAATATGTTTAGGCTGCCTGCTTGTTTAAAGCAGTCGCTGATAATCTGAGGTTAATCTGGGGGAAACTGTTTTACAAACTGTCATTTCTCAGCAGTAGAAATGTAATCTCAGCTGATTGAAATCTTATGGTTCCTTGAGCATTATAAAGCTATTTCTCCACAACTCATGAGCAATCTGATGGTTTACATACTGTGCAGGGGCAGAGAAACCCCATCCAGATGGTTGTTGGATAGCATAAGGGTGACATGATGGGAAACTTTACTTTCAACTTGTCTTTTTAGCATAATAGGACCACGACCCAGGAGAACAGAGGCTCAAGACTAAACTATTAGCATCTCTTTACTTCCCCTTATACTTCCCAGTTAATGTAATTCTCCATTTATTGTCCAGTTCTAGTTAGTCTTTTTATAAATCAAAGACAACCTTTTTGGTCAAGGAAAAGATTGAGAACTCTAATAATCTACTGCTGGTTTAATGAGGTTCTGGGTTGGTTTTGGTTTTGTTCTTTTCAAAATTCTTAATATCTACACATTTTCTACACATTTACTATGCCATTTTATAGTTATAAAGCTATAATTTTATGATTAAAATTATAATTATCAAATTATCAATTTGGGTCCTTCAAGGGACTTCTGATTATACTCTATTTGGAAAAATTCCCTCCTTTCTTCAAGGGAAGAAAATACATTTCTAAAGACCTGAATGTTGAGTACCACCCATTCTAAAATTGTCTTATGCTCAAGATTTTGTTTGGTTTTGGTTTTGCTTTATATGTTTCAACTTATGGAAAAGGAGAAAATGGGCAGATCTTAGGAATCTGACATTTGTACAATTGTATTGGGTTATCTCTGGGTCATGAGAAACCATGTTGACTCCCAGAGAGAGGTCTACTTTTTTTACATTCACCTGATTTGACCATTTTTCAAAAAATCCAGCTGACTGTGGGCAAATGCAGGAGGAATTGGATCTGACAATCTCTGCAGATACCAGAAAACAAACAGCATGTAAACCAGAGATTGCATATGGTAAGTTCAAGGGTTCAATATATTTCCTTTAAACATGACATGTTGTGAATACCTAATCAGTTAGAAAGATCAAAAACTACACAGTGATTATATGGATACAATATCGTGTATCAATTTTCAGCATTAACATGCAAAGTTATTTATTCTTCAGCAAATAAATCTGATTTTCATTTAAAATGACAGAAGTGATATGCACACCCAGCCAAGATACTTTAATAGATCTTTTTGAATTCAGGCATTGAAACATATCCAAAGAGAACTTTAAGAGGCCACAGAGGTATAAGATTTCAGTTCTTATGCTTCCAGTTGATAGACCACAGGCAGAGGCAATGGCAGTTTGGGTGGGGCGGGGTTGCTTTTTAAAAAAAAATTTTCAAGGTAAAAATGTAAACACCAAATAATTTTAAATATATGTAGGATTGCAATTCATGTTTGAGACTCTCTCCACTTCAAAAGGAGAATCTCCTAGTTTTCCAGAGCTCTGAGCTAAATCATTGTCCAAGTACAGTTGTAGCCAGTTCCTGAGAGAATGATCTTTGTTTTCAATCCATAGTTTTTTGTTTTTGTTTTATTTTTTGAGTCAGGGTCTCACTCTGTAACCCAGGCTGAAGTGCCGTGGCATGATCACAGCTCACTGCAGCCTTAACCTCCTGGGCTCAGGTGATCTTCCACCTCAGGCTCCCAAGTAGCTGGGACTACAGGCACACACTACTATGCCTGGTTCACTTTTTTTTTTCATTTTTATAGAGACAAGGTCTCGCTATGGTGCCCAGGCTGGTCTCAAACTCCTGGGCTCAAGCAATCCTCCCACCTCAGCCTCCCAAAGTAGTGGGATTACAGGCATGAGCACACCTGGCCTCTATCCATAGTTTTTCAAGTTTATTTCTAGCTTTTTTTTTTTAAGAAAGAGCACATATTGTATGATATCTCAAGTCTTTTTTTTTTTTTTGAGTTGGAGTCTCATTCCGTTGCCCAGGCTGGAGTGCAGTGGCAAGCTACCGGCCACCGCAGCCTTGACCTGCTGGGCTCCGGCGATCCTTCCGCCTCAGCCTTCCAAGTAGCCGGAACTACAGGCATGTGCTACCACACCCAGCTAATTTTTGATTGTAGAGATGAGGTCTCACCAAGTTGCCCTGGCAGGTCTCAAAACTGCAGGGTCAGGCAATTCACTCACCTTGGCCTCCCAAAGTGCTGGGATTACAGGCTGAGCCACCGAGCCCAGCCGATATCTCAAATTTTTTTTTTGAAAATTTGAAGGATGATTTATAAATTTGAAAATAAGTACATCTGATTTGGCACTCTGTGTTTCATATATTTGTTTCTCACTGGAGTCCCACAAGAACCCTTTGAGGTAACAGGATTATCACTATTTTGCTGGTGAAGAAACTGAGACTCAGGGAGATTAAATAATTTGCTCAAGGTGATGCAGCAAGTAAGTAGTAGAACTAATATACATCCTGGTCTCCAGCATTATTTTCATCATAGTTTACTGAATTCTTTTAATAGAAATATAGCTATCAGAATGAATTTTGTATGGCTTATAGTATTTCTTTCCATTGAATTCATCTTGGTTGTTTTTTGTTTGTTTTTTGTTTGAGTTAGAGTCTCACTTTGTCGCCCAGGCTGGAATGCAGTGGCACACTCACAGCCACCCAGTGTCAACCTACTGGGCTCCAGCAATCCTTCCAAGTAGCCAGAAGTACAGGCACATGCTATCATGCCTGGCTAATTTTTGATTTATTACAGAGACAAGGTTTTGCAAGTTGCCTGGGTTGGTCTCAAACTCGTGGACTCAGGCAATCCACTCACCTTGGTCTCCCAAAGTGCTGGGATTACAGGCTGAGCCACTAATATTTTTTTTAAAAAAAGCTAAAAATCTGCCTGACTCAGCCAAGACCCACTGCAATTTTTAAAATGTGTCAAGGCTTGAAGCAAATACTATATTATTTTAACAAACAAATACTGACTGGGCGTGGTGGCTCACACCTATAATCCCAGCACTTTGGGAGACCAGCCTGGGCAACTTGGCGAGACCTCATCTCTACAATAAATCCAAAAATTAGCCAGGCGTGGTGGCATGTGCCTGTAGTTCCAGCTACTTGGAAGGCTGAGGCGGAATCACCTGAGCCCAGTAGGTCAAGGCTGCAGTGACCATGAGCATGCCACTGCACTCCAGCCTGGGTGACAGAGTGACACTGACTCAAATTTTTTTTTAAAAAGGATCTTACTAAATTATTTATTCCCTCCATTTTACAACTATTTTAACTCTAAACTATCAGAAATCTATTTTAACACAGAGAATAAATGCAATCTGTATTTGTTGTATTACTTTCGAGAAAAGACTTAACTGGCTTTTTCTGGGGACTACAGGCTGTTGCTGAAATAACAGAATAGAAACAAAAAAGTCGTTTCCTCTCTCTACTCATTCCCATGTAGCAGATACATTGCCCATGTCCACCATAAAGATTTATGAAACCGAGATTCAGAACATTTTTCATCCATGTTAAGCTACTAATGTACATAGCCTTTGGTTCTGTCCAACTGAGTTCACCCATCTACCTATCTATTGATCTATCATTTATCTATTATCTATCTATATCTGGGATAGACCCATAGACTTGAAAGAGCTCAAAATGGACAAACCTTTTAGGTCAGTCACTTCAACACCATCAAAAGCAAAAATAAAAGGAATCTTTTCTGGGGCCACATAGACAGCCCTTCAAGCTGGTCCTTCTAGATCAGAGGTCAAACACATTGTGCATCAAACACTGGTATCTGAAGAGAAAACAGGACTGGAAGTGGCTCGTGTTAGGTAGTTGGCAATCTAAGCAAGAGTGAGTGAGAAAAGAGAATCCTATTAAAAACCAAAGATCAAAGTCAATGGAGCTATATGAGGAAGCAATGAGGCACCCATGGTAGGCCTAAATAATAGGTAAAGTCCCCCTCAGTGGCCACCAAGAGAAAAAGGAAAGGGCCTTCAAAGGGTGGCCATGGTCATGACACCACTAATCTCAAAAGATCTGCATCTGAACTTTACATGTAACAAAAGTTTATATTGTTTGTTTTATGCGCTTCTGTTATTTAATTTAATATGGCTCTAATCTTAATCAACCTGTTCTATAACAGTGGACAGGGTTAATGATTCTAATAGATTGAGAAATTGAATCAGACTGAGGGGATTTGGGAAAGCTTCTTGGAAGAAATAAGATCTACCTAGCGAGCCCATAATAGTCTGTCATGCTTCATTTCTCATTTGTTTGACAAATTCTAGTTTCTATTGAATGTGACATTAATGGCACTGATTGAATTGTTTCATTTTTGTTTTGTTTTTTTTTAACCAGCTTACAAAGTTAGCATTAAATCCATCACTGAAGAAAATGTTTTTGTCAAATATACTGCAACCCTTCTGGATATTTACAAAACTGGTGAGAATTCATTCCTCCATTGTTTCATTTATCAACTATTTAGTACTTACTATGTGCCAGGCAGTAGGCTGTGTATATTAGACACAGAGGATACAACTTGAATAAGATAGCCCAGGTTCCTACCTAATTACAGCTTATATTCTACTTGGGAGACTTTTTTTTTAAGTGTTCATATAAATTTTTTAAATTGTATTTTAAAGATGTGGGGTACAATTCAGGATTAGGTACATAAGTGGTCATTGTACAGGTAAAGTTTGGGCCTTCCTTTGGTTCTCACTTCCGCCTGGTTTGAGATCAGGTACCCTTATTGATGTTATGTGCCCCTCCCCCAGCAGTGTCCCACTACTGCCAATCTCTTTCATGTAGTATTATGATTAATGTTCAGGGTCCACTTATGAGTGAGAAAATGTGGTACTCAGATTTTTGTTTCTGTGATAGATCCCTGAGTATTATAGACTAAATACACTCGAGTTGCTGCAAAGTCCATAATTTTGTCCTTCTTTATGACTGCATAATAGTCTATCGTGTATATGTACCACATTTCATATAAATATTTTTTATTGAATTCTTTTTTTCTCTAACTTCAACAAAACAGTTTGATATGTTGTCCCATTGTTCTTTTTAGTACCAGACCAACAAAAATCATAATCCTTCTTGAAAGTCTTCAACTTTTCATGTTAAGTTATTTAGAACATTTTTTAAATAAAATAGTTGATTTATCTAATCATGATTCAAATTTCTTATCTTATTTATATCTTTCAAAAGATTGTTTTCATATTTCAGTAGATATATATTTTATAATAAATAGACAATAAAACTAAATTGCAATCATATATTTATACTGACTTTTTTTCTCTTTTGAAATTCCATAAAGTATTTCAAGTCTAAAAATGTTTGACTTTTTTTTTTTTTTTTTTTGAGATAGAGTCTCACTGTGTTGTTCAGGCTAGTCTCAGATTCCCAGACTCAAGAGATCCTCCTTCCTCAGCCTCCCAGCTTGATTATTTCTATCCATACTCCAGAATCTAAGATTCTAGTAATACTTTTCAAAGTTTTGTTTGCTTTATCAACACCCTATTAAAATTTTTTTCTAGTTTCTACTATTTCAAAAGTTTCACTGTATGGAACTTATTTGTGATGTTATTTTATTTTAATTTAATTTTCTTTATTGATGGTCAAAATTTTTTAAAATTTGAACCCTAGCTGCCATTCTAATGAAATAAGTAAGTAAATATGGAAATGATCTTTCCACCGTCCAACTTTGGAACACCATTTGCATCTCAAGCAATAATAAGCCATTCTTTTTTTTACCGAAAGCAAAGGGCTTCTGATTCCAGAGATACAAATTGTTGGTTTTATTTTGTACTGATTCTTCCACAATATCAAAAGACACTCCAGACTATTCTGAATTTTTTGTAGCAACAGAGGATTCCCAAGCTGCAGGATTTTATTCATATCATTTCTTCTTTGTCCTTCTGTAGACTCAAAGATTCATTTGTATGATATTTAAAGGGAAGCATTAAGAAACTTTTGCATACTTTATCTCTCCATTCTGGATGTTCATTTTTTATCTTTATAAATTTTGAATGTATGTAAATATCAAAATACCACACACTTACACAAGAATTGCTGCACACTAACAATGAAAGCCCTTTAGAATCAAGGGCAAGCTATGTAGTTTGAGGATAATGAAAAATTGGCATTTCTCCTAAAGCCCAGGGTACTTAGAGTGGATGGAAATATAGATGGAAAGAAAGATGAGTGACCACTGGAACCAGGGCTTTTAACTCTTCTTTCTCTTCTTCTGAATGTGCTTGAAATTTTTCATAACAAAAAGGTTTTTAAAATGATAAGGCCTCACACAGCCACACTGTTTACCATGACAGAGGCTGAATTGACAGATTGTTCTGAGACTGTTGCTGCACTAGGAATCTGTGATTGGGATGGCCTAAGAGAATTATCTAGAACTAATGGGTGTACACTAAACTTTATATTACTGATGAAAGTTTACCATCTACACAATTACTGTTACAGACTATTTACAAACAAGTTCAGAAGTTTTTCAGGATTTAACAATTAAGATGACTCTGCCAGAGTTTAACAATTGGATGTCAGCCCTGAATATATGGCAATAAAGCAGAAGAATATTCTAGTCTAGCCAGGGAGACAGACATGTGGGTAAAACATTGTGATAGAAATTCAAGTATAAAAATAAGAGGGAAACAGAAAGATATTTAAGACGAAGATTAACAAGGAATATTTTATTGGATACTGTGAGAATTGAAGAAGGGTTTAAAGATGAATGAACTCCAACAGGTCAATGTGGGGCAGAATGTATTCCAGGGAGGAGAACTGACTACTTCTGAGTTCTTTGGAAATCCCAAAGTTATTGTTCTTAATGTTTTCCAAGTCTTAATGTCTTTCACCTCTTGTACTTTCCTACCAAGTTCACCATTGTCAGCTACTAAATACTTTTATATTTTATTATGCACCACATGGAGATGAATTTTGTTCAACTATAGAGAGGTTCTTTTAATTCTAGGTCTATAAGAGTAATAATAACAAGAACTTTTAAATATATTAGCCCATTTAATCTCTCAAAAATTCTACAAGGTGAGTTTTATTATCATGCCCATTTTCCAGATGAGGTGTCTAAGCCCTTATACAAGAACATAAATCATTTGCCCAGTGCCACACAGCAAGGAAGTGGCCCACTTGAGGTTGAACCCACATAATCTTTTTGTTATTGTTATTGGAATCTCACTTTGTTGCCCAGGCTGTGGTGCAGTGGCACACTCACAGCCACCGCAGCCTCAACCTGCTGGGCTCAGGCGATCCTTCCGCCTCAGCCTTGCAAGTAGCTGGAACCATAGGCACGTGCCATCACACCCAGCTAATTTTTTGATTTATTGTAGAGATGAGGTCTCGTCAAGTTGCCTAGGATGGTCTCAAATCCGTGGGCTCAGGCAATCCTCTCACCTCAGCTTCCCAAAGTGCTAGGATTATAGGCGTGAGCCACCGCGCCCGGCCAGATAGTCTTGTTCCAGAGACTGAAATCTTAACCACACGGATACTGCTGCTCTCTCAGTAACTGTGAGGAACCAAAAAACATGAGAAAATTTAATGAGTGACATTAAAACATGAATGTGAAAACCTAACTTATGTCTCTCTCAGGGGAGGCTGTTGCTGAGAAGGACTCTGAAGTCACCTTTATTAAAAAAATGACCTGTACAAATGCTGACCTGATAAAAGGAAGACAGTATTTAATTATGGGTAAAGAAGCCCTGCAGATAAAATACAAATTCAGTTTCAGGTAAGTCATTATTTGAAAGTCTCTGATCTTCCCTCCAAACCTGAATGTTATTCTTAAACACACTACTCATTTTACGTCCTCTGCTCTGCTGTTAACCAACAAACCATCACGAACGTAAGTGAAATAATATGAGTTTAAAACCATCATGGGGCAACCTCCTCAGGTCCCCTCCTGCTTTGGGAGCTTTTCTGTCTTCTCAATAAATCCCGCAAATAAATAAATAAGTAAGTAAATGAATAAGTAAATAAATAAATAAAACCATCATGGCAGCCGAAGACTCAGCTGACTGATAAACCATCTGAGCATCTGGACCTGATGGTGGTCTGAGAATACGCGTCTGACCTCACCTGACCACCACGCTGCCTCCCTCAATATGTTCTCAGACTGCTCTGTTTTTAAAGGGAAAATGTTTAAATATGCATTTTATTATCTGCTTTTAGAAACTAAAGACTGAAATAGATGTTATTCTTGCCTCTAACCATGGGAGCCCCAGGCAGCTTCACAATCCTTCAGGGTTTTGGAGGTTGGACCAGAGGCTGGACCAAATGAGTTTGACTGACCACAACTGGGCTCTTATAGAAGAAATCAAGTACAGCTTTTCTCTGTTTGTGACCATCCTCACAAACATTTTGTTTCCATTTTTTTCTTGGTAGGTACATCTACCCTTTAGATTCCTCAACTTGGATTGAATACTGGCCTACAGACACAACATGTCCATCGTGTCAAGCATTTTTAGCTAATTTAGATGAGTTTGCTGAAGACATCTTTTTAAATGGCTGTGAAAACGCCTGAAGAATTCAGCTGCATGTAGTTTTCACATATGGACTCCTGTTGTTGAAATTCCTTTTTTCTTCTTATGCTTTTGTTAAACATTCACAGCTGGTCTTATTTGTAAAGCTCACCTTACTTAAAGCTAGTGGCGTTTGCTTTTGTTAGAGAACAATTTTGAGAACGGTAACTTTCTGAGATAACATGACCTTGTGGGGCAATGTCTCAGATACTCCAGGGTTATTGGACACCGGAAGCAATAAATTGGAACACCTCCTAAAACCTACCGCTCAGGAATGTTTGCTGGGGCCAAAGAATAGCTCGTTGAAATGTAGTATCTTACAAAAACATGGCCTTTGCTTGAAAGAAAACACCAAGGAGCAGAAAACTCATAATTAAAGCCTCAATTTGCTTTCAAAATGTGCTTTAAAAAAAAACATGTAATTGTATGCTAGATCAGCTTAAACTACACAGACAGGCAAACCGGGGGAGGTGAAGAAAGTTGGTGGTAGAGAGCTTTAACCCTGACAAGGTCTAAGCTCAGATCCCCCAGCAAACTGAAAGGTAGGCAATTGGTCTCTGCCCCTTTCTCTTCTGTTGCCCTCTGCATAACCCTGTTGGGGGATCCCTCTACTGTACTCCCTTTCCTTCCCTCCCAGCACGTATTTATTTCCCTCAGGGACTTCCTCTTGCCAATAATTGCAGGTCAAAGAAACTGAATGGAAATCCGGAGACCTTTGTTCTGGCCCTAACTAGGTCAGAGTCGTCAGTCTCTCTCTCTCTCTCTCTCTCTCTCTCTCTCTCTCTCTCTCTCTCTCTCTCTCTCTCTCTCTCTCTCTCTCTCTGGTTCTTTTTTGTTGCCCAGGTTGGAGTAAAGTGGCATGGCTCACTGCAGCCTCCATCTCCTGGGCTCAGCCTCCCAAGTCGCTGGAACTACAGGTGCACACCACCATGCCAAACTACTTTTTTGATTTTATGTAGAGATGTCTCACTATGTTTCCCAGGCTGGTCTTAAACTCCTGGGCTCAAGTAATCCTCCCACCTCGGCCTCCAAAATGCTGGGATTACAGGCTCATGCTCAGCCATGGTCTCTCTCTGAGTCTCAGTTTGAACTTTATAAAAGAGGATTCATCACGAGAAGTTAACTTTTTTTTTTCTTGAGTTGGAGTCTCACTCTGTCACCCGGGCTGGAGTGCAGAGGCATGCTCATGGCCACTGCAGCCTCAACCTACTGGGCTTAGGCAATCCTTCCAAGCAGATGGAACTACAGGCGCATGCTACTATGCCCAGCTTATTTTTTGATTTATTGTAGAAACGAGGTCTCATTGAGTGCTCAGGCAATCCTCTCGCCTCGGCCTCTCAGAGTGCTGGGATTACAGGCTGAGCCACCATGCCCGGCCAAGAAGTTAACTTTTAAGTGGCCTTTTGCAGCACTTTAGATCTTATTAAATCGTTTTCACATCTATTACTATTTAATGTCTCCAGAATCTCACAAGGTACAGGCATTATTATTATTATTATCCCCATTAGACAGATAAGGAAATTGAGGCTCAGAAAGGTAAAGCAATTTTCCCAATCTAGTAAGGGGAAGAATTGGAGATGAAACCCAGGGCTCTCTCTTAGTCTAAACACATCCCTGTTTCCCCTCACTTTATGTTGCTTGTCAGGTTTGATTTCCTAAGACCAAGGCAGGATATAAAGGTAGTGGGACTTTCTTAGACACAGGTTGACCAACCCCACTAAACCATCATGAGGAAACATGAAGATGACTCTGGATGAAATGGTAATTAGTAGTGACTGGAATGCATTCCCTTTTGAAGAGTCTGCATTCTACCAGTTAGGCAAAACTACCCCTTGTAACTAAGATTTTCCTCTTCCGGGAACCAAGGGCTTATTTTTCCTTAATGCCAAAGCTCACATTGTAGCCGCATCCATTGGCAAAGACAACCAGTATGTCCAAGATGCCCACATGCTCTATCGGGAGGGATGAGGGGCCCCCTCCAGATCGGGCCTGACAGTGTCTCCTGCCACCCTCTTGCTGAACGCAGGGTAGAGGGACCCACTGGAGCTCCTTCGGAGGCATGACAGTCTCTGAGCTGTTTGACTGCCTTGTCCCTGAGTCCTGTGACAAGTAGGTCAGGCCATAGTGGCCCAATTAACCCACAATGCAGCTGTCAAATATCAAGGCAGGCTTTTGTAAATTAGCCTGGCACCACTGGAAACAGCCACCAGCTCCTCCTCAGTTAACTCCTATGTATTTGAGCATACTTTCTTAGTGAGGCTAAGAAACTCTACCCAGCACCACACTTTTCCAAGGTGCATGTTCTCACAATGATTTACTGAATCACATGGAATTATTTGTTTAGTTTGCAGCTTCCTGACCTGCTATGTTAGCTCCATGTAGGCAAGGTCTGGGTCCGTCATATTCACCCAAATCTCCTGTGTCTGTCGTGATACCAGGTACATTATAGGGACTCAATAAGTGTCCCTGTACTCAGTGGGAGAATCAGAAGCCCCAAGTTCTAGTCTTGTTTTTAGCCCTAGATAGCAGTGATTTGAGGCAAGCCTCTTAAATTCTTTGATAGCCTATAACAGTAACTCTCAACCTTTTTGACATCAGGGACCGGTTCTGTGGAAGACAATTTTTCCATGAACCAGGCACAGGAGATGTTTTCAGGATAATTCAAGCACAGAACATTTATTGTACACTTTATATTATTACATTGCAATATATAATGAAATAATTATACAACTCACCATTATTTTATTTACCACTTCCTTGGATGGAAATGGTAAATAAAATAATGGGAGCCATGTTTGGACTAAAATAGATGTTGGATTCTGACTTAAAGTCTTCCACCAGATGCAACTGTACAGTTGAAGTCTGTCAATTCATTTGCCACTCACTGATACTGTTTTGATATGAGTCTGCAAGCAATTGGTTTGTTATGGTCTCTGTGCAGTCAAACCTCACTGCTAATGTTAATCTGTATCTGCAGCCGCTCCCCAAAGCTATCATCACCACCTTAGCTCTAGCTCAGATCATCAGGCATTAGATTCTCATAGGAGCACACAACCCAGATCCCTCACATGAGCATTTCATGGGGTTTGTGCTCCTATGAGAATTAATGCTGCTGCTGAACTGACAGAAGTAGCTCAGGCGGTAATGCGAGCAGATGGGGAATGGCTGTAAATACAGATGAAGCTTGGCTCACTCGAGCTGCTCGCTGCTCACCTCCTGCTGTGTGCCCCTGGTCCCAACAAGCCACGCAGATCAGCACCAGCCTGTGACCTAGGGTTTGGGGACCCCTGGCCCATAAAACGAGGGAGTTGAGCACTTTCATGTCTTTCTTATCTATATCTCTAAGAAGATATTTGATAATCTTATAATGAGAAACTGAAAAAAAACCCAACGGCACATAAGCATCCATATATTGGTCTATGTGTTTCTGCCTATGAGTGTGAAGGGCACACAGAGAAGTAAGCTGGAGGAGTTACCAAGTCTTCTTGGAAAAGGACAGAAGGGTTCAGGTAGGCAGTAGGTGCAGAAAGCCTTTTCTGGTTGAGGAGGGATGCTTAAGGCAGGTTTCCACTGGGGGTAAGCAAGATCTTAGGTGATACAGTCGTGCATTTTTTATTTTAATAGCAACATGTATTCAAGAAAATATAACTAGCACATTAAAGCCATGACATAAAATTTTCTTTTAAATAAACTTATTTGTTGAGAAGTAAGTCTAGTTAAGAAAAAGAATTAAGGAAAAGTATTGATAGTTCTTAGGACAAAAAACACAGCTGGCATACAAATAATTGAAATTAAAGAAACTCTATTTTAAGAAAAGACATGGAGTTGACTTTGAGCCAAGCTTGAGGCAGGCAGCTCCATATTTCCCAGTGAGGGACTCTGGACCAAAGTCATGTCAGTCTTTCTTTCCAGCCCCTGTGATGCTAATTTATTCAGCAACATTCAATAAATAGTGGTAACTGTAGACCAAAACCAATTCTAGGTGCTTGGTACCAAAAATCCTGTCCTTGTGGAACTTAGATTTCAACTGGGGGAAACATGCAATAAGCAATAAAGACAATGATTAGAGAACTTGCCGGGTTTGGTGGCTCAGCCTGTAATCCCAGCACTTTGGGAGGCCAAGTAAGTGGATTGTCTGAGTCCACAGGTTCAAGACAAGCCCAGGCAACTTGGCAAGACCTTATCTCTACAATAAAACAAACAAACAAACAAAAAAATTAGTTGGCACAGTAGTGCATGTCTGGAGTTCCAACTACTTGGAAGACTGAGGCAGAAGGATTGCCAGAGCCCAGCAGGTCAATGCTAGAGTGGCCGTGAACGTGGCACTACACTCCAGTCTTGGTGACAGAGTGAGACTCGAACTCAAAAAAAAAAGAGTGATGACTAAATTATTTTCAGTTTTGCTTGGTCACCTGCCTCCCTTGACTTATTACTGGGACTATGCATGCGCTTCAGAGACTAGCCTGGGGGAGGAGGCAGGAAGAAACCAGATATGGGGGAAACAGTCTGTTTCTGGACAATATCTCACAGGTGGCCAGGTCAGAGTGGGCTTCAGTGAGGTGAGATGTGAGCAAAGATGTAAAGGATAAGAAAGTGTGAACCACATGTTTAGCCAGGCAAAGAGTGTTTCAGGCACTCTTGGGTACCTAGTGCCCAAGCCTAAAGCAAGAACATGCTGGTGCATTGTAGCAAAAGCAAGGGGGCTAGGGTAACAGGTTCAGATCAATGGAAAGGGTCTTGGCTTTACTTGGAAGGAAGCAAGAGCCATTACAAGGCTTTGAACAGAGGAGGGACATGGTCCGTTTTACTTTGTAAAAGATTGCTCTAAATGCTATGTTGAAAATAAGGCAAGGGTAAAGAGGCCGGTTGGGAGGCTACTGCGATAAACCAGGCAATGGTGATGATGCCTCAGACAAGAGTGGGAGCAGTGAAGGTGTTGAAAAGTGGTTGGATTTTGGATTATTTTTAGAGGATTTAACTGGATTCCCTGATATATTGGAAATAAGAGTGAAAGAGTAGAGTCAGCCATGATGCCAAGATTTTGGGCCTGAGCTACTGGAAGAATGGAGTTGCCATGAACTGAGACAGGGACAGGGAAGGCTGCCGATGGAGCGTTTAATTGCAGGGAATTAGGAATTGGGAGTTCGGTTTTGGATGTGTTGAGTTTTGTAGGAGATCTATTAAATATTCAAGTGAAGGAGTCAAGAAGGCAATAGGTCATACAGTTCTGGACTAAAAACTAGAAGTCTGAGGGTCTTCAGCACATTAAAGTCATTAGGCTGGCTAAGGCCACTAAGGATGTGAATATCGACAGATGGAGGATGGGGGACTGAGGACCAAGGATAGAACTTTGGAGCATTCCAACATTAAGTTGTTGAAGAAAAGAGATGGAGGATCC